ATATTGTGATGTAACCACAGTATGCGTTTGGCCTGGAGTCAGCAATAGTAATCTGTGACCTGACGCCAGCTGAGGCGAGAAATCATGTCAGCTTTTCTAGGCTATCACAAACATCTGCTCGTGTCACCATATATGACAATAACATTATGACTGTTGTTATTGGACAGTGAGATATAGTTATTGTGCCATAAACACACAGTGTTAATGTTCTCTGGCACCTTAAGTGTTGGTCGTCACTATATTGATCAACCTCTAACCCTAAACATCAAACAGTGCTCTTGTAATCACTCAAGTCTCACATGTACATTCACGTCTTTTTTATTTGCAAAACAAGGTTTTCAATTAATTATGTGTGTATTTGCTTGCTGAAGCTTTTTATTATTTTTAATTTTTAATTTTTTGGCCATCTGAAAAAATGTAAATATAATATTATGAAAAGAATATAGAAGTTTAGTGGTTCAACTATATTTTTTTTGCTGCAATTTTTTATTGTAAATTTTTTTTAAATTAAAATTAAGTTTAAGTTTTAAGTAAATTTTCTGTCAAATATTTTATTATTATTATTATTATTACTATTTCTATTATTATTATGCACTTTTTTGTTGTTAATATTTAATGCTGTCAAACATCTCGATTAATCACATCTAAAATAAAAGTTTGTATTTACATGTGTGTACTCACTGTTTATCAGTGTGTGTGTGTGTGGATATATATATATTTATATGTGTGTGGGTATATATAGTGTGTGTGTGTGTGTGTGTGTGTGTGTGTGTGTGTGTGTGTGTGTACACACACATACACAACATATACACAACAATATACACAGCATATACACAACATATTTTCACAGTGTGTCTGATAATATTTTTTCTTCTAGAAAAAGTCTTATTTGTTTTATTTCGACTAGAATAAAAGCAGTTTTTAATTTTTTGAACACCATTTTAAGGTCAAAATTATTAGACCCTTTAGGCTATATTTTTACGATTGTCCACAGAACAAACCATCGTTATACAATAACTTGCCTAATTACCCTAACCTGCCTAGTTAACCTAATTAACCTAGTTAAGCCTTTAAATGTCACATTAAGCTGTATAGAAGTGTCTTGAAGAATATCTAGTCAAATATTATTCACTGTCATCATGGCAAAGGTAAAATACATCAGTTATTAGAAATAAGTTATTAAAACTATTATGATTAGAAATGTGTTAAAAAAAACTTTCTCTCCGTTAAACAGAAATTGGGGAAAAAAATAAAATACATATATCTAAATATATATGTATGCATGTATATATGTATATATATTACACATACAGTATATATGTATAATAATTATATACACACACTCACTGGCCACTTTATTAGGTACAGTTTACTGGTACCAGGATGTACCCTCTTTTGCCCTCAGAACTGACCTTTAATCCTTCGTGGCATAGATTCAAGGTACTGGAAATTGACATGAGAGCATCACACAGTTTCTCCAGATTTGTCGGCTGCAGATCCATGATGAGACTCTCCTGTTCCACCACATCCCAAAGGTGCTCTATTGGATTGAGCTCTGGTGACTGTGGAGGCCATTTGAGTACAGTGAACTCATTGTTATGTTGAAGAAACCAGTCTGAGATGATTCACGCTTTATGACATGGTGTGTTATCCTGCTGGAAGTAGCCATCAGAAGATGGAGACACTGAGGTCATTATGGGATTTTGGTGAGCCTGTGTGAATTGTAGCCTCAGTTTCCTGTTCTTTTGACAGGAGTGACCCGGTGTGGTCTTCTGTTGCTGTAGCCCATCCACTTCAAGGTTGGATGTGTTGTGTGTTCAGAGATGCTCTTCTGCAGACCTCGGTTGTAGCGAGTGCTTATTTGAGTTACTGTTGCCTTTCTATCAGCTGAACCAGTCTGGCCATTCTCCTCTGACCTCTGTCATCAACAAGGCATTTGCGCCCACAGAACTGCCACTCACTGGATATTTCCTTTTTTTCTGACCATTCTCTGTAAACCCTAGAGATGGTTGTGCGTAAAAATCCCAGTAGATCAGCAGTTTCTGAAATACTTAGAGCAGCCCGTCTGGCACTAACAACCATGCCACATTCAAAGTCACTTAACTCCCCTTTCTTCCCCATTCTGATGCTCGGTTTGAACTGCAGCAGGTCGTCTTGACGATGTCTACATGCCGAAATGCACTGAGTTGCTGCCATGTGATTGCCCGATTAGAAATTTGATTTAATGAGCAGTTGTATAGATGTAAATATTTAATTTCTAAACATAAATAATAATTTTCTCAAATATATGCACATGTAATTAATCGATTAATCTTTTGACAGAACTAATTATTTCACTATTTTTAAATGAAATATACAAATTTAGCTCCGGTTTCCCCACAGTCCAAAGACATGCGGTACAGGTAAATTGGATTGGCTAAATTGTCTGTAGTGTTTGAGTGTGAATGAGTGTGTATGGATGTTTCCCAGATATGGGTTGCTGCTGGAAGGGCATCCACTGTGTAAAGCATATGCTGGATAAGTTGGCGGTGCATTCTGCTGTGGCAACCCCTGATTAATAAAGGGACTAAGCCGACAATGAATAAATGAATATTGAAATTTAAAGAAATAGAAATAAAACCTTAAATATAATATGTATAAAATATATCTCAGTTTCAGTGTGTTAATTAAAAAAAAAATACAATCAACATTTTTACTGTTCTCTTTTTAGTTCAAAGAGGGACTTCTTGATTTAGGTTAGGGCTTTGTGAGGAAAATAATCTTATTAAACACAACTAAAATGAACAGAATTTGAAAATAAATAAATATGATAAAAAGTATTTATTTTATGTCCATAAAATTTGCTTAATGAATATTCATTCATTCATTTTCTTGTTGGCTTAGCCCCTTTATTAATCCGGGGTCGCCACAGCGGAATGAACCACTAACTTATCCAGCCAGTTTTTACGCAGCGGATGCCTTTCCAGCCGCAACCCATCTCTGGGAATCATCCACACATGCATTCACACACACACTCAAACACTACGGACTATTTAGCCTACCCAATTCACCTGTACCGCATGACTGTGGGGGAAACCGGAGCACCCGATGGAAACCCAAGCGAAGGCAGGGAGAACATGCAAACTCCACACAGAAACGCCAACTGAGCAGAGGTTCGACCCAGCGACCTTCTTGCTGTGAGGCGACAGCACTACCTACTGCGCCACTGCCTCGCCTTAATGAATACTTTTACATGAAATATATTCCAAAACAACACATTTTTGTAATAAATCTTTTTCCTCTGTTGTGCACTTGTTGTTTAACTACACTTTAGTGTATCCTAGCAAGACCACATTCAGACAGCAGATATTGTATGCTGTTGACGTCCTATCAGTGTTGTTTATCAGGCAGGGTTTGCAGTAATTTCAAGCCATTTCCCACATTTTAGCAACCAGTGTTAGCAGACTCTTAGCAACCGAGCGAACACAACTCTCTTAGTTCACTCGCCTCCTGTTTTAAGAGGTTAAGTGCACTAGAGCTGTCAGTAAATGTGTCACCGCATTAGACTGATGAAATTATTTTGACTGCAGGCACAGTTAAAAATAGATGTTTATATGGAGCCAGAAGGGTGAAAAGGGAAGATTTCACCATTGTTCTGCAATATCATCAAGACCGATATGTCTTTTATTGAGTTGATTGCACACTCAGTGCATTTGTGTTATTAGGCTGGCTTGTGTAGCAAGCCAGACTATTGTTATCCTATTTTTCATCTGAGACTAAAAATGATACTCTATCTCCTCCTAGAGCTTTCGAGCTATGACCACCAAACTCACAGCAGACCTCCAAACTGGTCTGACTTAGGTTGCTATGTCTTTTCCGACTGATCCAACTTTCGGTTTTCCGAAAAACATCCCGGGATCGTCTGAAAAATCCCATTGACTTAACATTGGGTCAAACTTTGTCCGCTCATAACTCTACATCAGACTGTCGCACAGACCTCTAACTGGGCTCATTTAACTCAGACTACCAAACTACCAATAACTGATGAGCTTTTAACTTTCTAGCCACACCCCTAACAACCAGATACTGCACCCTAGCAACTGTCCCATAGACTGCCATTATAGAGGTTCAGATTGATATCGTCATGCTGCAGTGTGATAGAGACATGGGGGTTGTTTTTAACTGTTCATACTAGCAAAAAGCTTTGATACATCATCAGTCTAAGCTGTCAATCAACTCCATAGCAACAAAACAGACTAACCTAGCAACTATATAACAGCAGCTATATCTCAGCATCAGAACATTGTAGAGAAGCGGGGGTTGGCTTGTTTGACTCATGCTAGCACACCATCCTCTATCTATCTATCCATCCATCCATCCATCCATCCATCCATCCATCCATCCATCCATCCATCCATCCATCCATCCATCCATCCATCCATCCATCCATCCATCCATCCATCCATCCATCCATCCATCCATCCATCCATCCATCCATCCATCCATCCATCCATCCATCCATCCATCCATCCATCCATCCATCCATCCATCCATCCATCCATCCATCCATCCATCCATCCATCTTTCTTTTCATACTTTTTAAAATTGTTTAAACTAAATAAACTATTACCAACAGGCTTTCACAAGCCAGCCTAAAAAGTTTGTCTCGACGAACTTTAATAATCTAGTTAGTATTTACTATTCATACTTTATTGTGCAACTTCAGTGTGCACAGTATATTGTTTTAGCATTGAAATCGCAACGTGCACATCCTCAACAGTCACATCGTAGGATCTGCGATGTGGAGTTATATTTGACCAATATCCACAGTTAAAAACATTTATGATTTGCATGAGTCATTGTCAAGTTTAATCCTAAAGTTACTAAAATGTTCATCATTTGCATGTGTTTTAAGGCCGGTTACTGTCCGAGCATTTCAAGCCAGTTGAATTTTGACTTTACCTGTACACACAAAATTAAATATAATCTTGATTTGCATTATTGTTTGTGTTTCTCCTCAGTGGGAAACTTGTGTCTCCGAAGTGGAAATCTTTCAAAGGTTTGAGGTTGCTGTGGAGGGATAAAATCCGTCTGAATAACGGCATATGGAGGGCCTGGTTCATTCAGTGTGAGTCTTCTGATGTATTTTGTCATCTTTAATTTACTTTAGGTCAAACCACTGCCGCTATTAAAGCAGTAATAAACACAAAATATACCAGAACATTTTTCTATTTGACACTTATTCAAATTAAGCTGTATAATTGCTCTAAAAAGTCATTATTCTGCTAAAGTGGGTGTTGATTCAGTTCAGTTCAATAAATATCAGTCATAGATTAATTTCATCCGCTCTGCAGAAGACTTACATTAAGGTTCATTTTTAGACCAAGTTTTATTCTCATCTGATAATAGTTTAAAGTCTGCATGAAATCTAAATTTCCATGTTTATTTTGCTAGTGCACATAAAGCGAACCATTAATCTGTTAAAACTGTTAATCCATTGAATTATTTACATTTTGGTTAATCTTTAATTAAAATCTGTCCATCTCCTTCTGCTCTGGAGCAGCTATCCTTATCCAGTGGCGTAGCGGACGGGCCCGCAGGGCACGCACCGCGGGGGGGGCACCGCGTGATTAGGGGGCCCTGCGTCGTCGCGATTTTCAATAATTGAAAATCCACCGGCAACCGCAATAATCAAACTCTTGGGAACAACTGTGGTCGGAACCAAAGTTTACACATCTGTGTTCTCTGAACACCTCTCAAGGGGTGGACTACTTCATTCTGATTGCTTGCCGCCAATGTTGCCAACTTAGCGACTTTGTCACTAGATTTAGCGACTTTTCAGACCCCCCTAACGACAAATCCTAGCGAATTTTTTTGTGTGTTATTGGAGATTTTTTTAGACTGTCATTTGTCCATACTGTACCGTCCCTACTCTTCTCAACGAGCTGCGTGTGATGCCGCCGGCCCCTCCCCCGCCTCACAGCACTGACAGGCGGCCCAGTCAGTCCTCTACAGCAGCCTCTCCCACCTGCAGCCCGAGAGCAGATCACCCCTCTGCGTACCGACGACAAATGATTTAGCACAGGCAGTGTGAAGGTATTTCCCTTGTACAGTCAAACCGATCTACTTCTCCTTTATTTTAACAACTTAATTGGACCGTTTAATCTTTTCTTGTTCACAATCACAGATATTTTAGTGACAGTTTCTGAACTTGTCTGAGTTTATTTCATATGAGAGATTACTGCACATTCACTACACATCTATAATGACTTACTGTATTCAAACAGCAATAAATTTAGTTAAATAAACATGCTTATATAAAGTGTAGTGCAATTATAAATACCCCTTTATTAACCATAGGCTGTTAAACAAACAGAAACGGTAAAACGTGATGACGTCAGTAATATGCAAATTGGCGTATGACGTACCCCCCCCCCCCTCTTCATCAGGGGGCCCCGTCAGCGATCCCTGCAGGGAGGCCTCCGCATTTTGTGCTACGGCACTGTCCTTATCTGATGATGTCATCTTGACTGAAATATGCTTAGCCACACCCCTCCAACTGTTAAGCTGCAATCACATTAGAGTTTAAGCATTCGAAATTCTGTCGTGCTGTGAAAAGGGGCGGGATTAAGCAAGCTTATTAGACATTCAAAAAAGCGAGCGATGGCTCCATGTTTTAAATTTCTGTCCAGAGAGGTCATGTTTTGATCCTCGATAGGTCAAGTGACGCGATTTCGCAGGTCAAAGTTCACCAAGCTTGAACTTTTCACCGCAGCAACCTACGAAACTTGACGCATGACCTTGCGTATCCGGTCTGACGCATTTGCATGCATATGAATGGAAGTCTATGTGAGGAAAAGCCCAGTGTGACCGCAGCTTAAGTTTGCTGAGAAAGATGGGAGGAGGGACACTAATAAACCACGCCCTCTATTAAATATTCGGTTTCGGCTGGAAATACAAAAAAGAAGTCTGCAGCAACTTCTGCTTCACGAAGACTTTAGATATAATATTTAGTGTTACTCATATTTTACAAATGTTACACTCCCAACAAGTGTTTCTAAAAACTGGTGTTTTAGTAGAACAATGTTTATTTTTGGTTACAAAATGTAAACAGAATTCACAATTCAGTTATATCCATAAAAACCATCCACAATTATCCCAACTTAGTTGCATCAACTGCCTGTAATTTATTTATTTATTTATTCATTCATTCATTCATTCATTCATTCATTCATTCATTCATTCATTTATTCATTTAAAAAGTTACTGTTACCATCTACTTTTCATTTAAAGTGGATTTATATGTTTATCTAAATTATATCTATAGAAAAAAACAAAAAAACAAAATTGGTGTAGAAACTCTTTTAACTCAAAAGCAAAGCATAGAAGGGGCGGCGTGGTGGCTCAGTGGTTAGCACTGTCGCCTCACAGCAATAAGGTTGCTGGTTTGAGTCCCGGCTGGGTCAGTTAGCGTTTGTGGAGTTTGCATGTTCTCCCCATGTTGCCGTGGGTTTCCTCCGGGTGCTCTAGTCCAAACTCATGCGCTGTAGGTGAATTGGATGAGCTAAATTGGTCGTAGTGTATGAGTGTGTATGGGTGTTTTCCAGTACTGGTTTGCGTCTGAAGGGCATTCGCTGCATAAAACATATGCTGGAGAAGTTGGCGGTTCATTCCGCTGTGGCGACCCCTGATAAATAAGGGACTAAGTTGAAGGAAAATGAAGTATAGAATTAAATGTAAAAAAATTTGAAACCGACAAGCTTGAAAGTTATTTTCTCGTAAAACATTCCAAAATTCTTTAAGAAAAAAGAAAAAATTTTTTTTTCTTGACATGAAGATATTAATATTTTAGAAACACTAAGATCATGCTTTTCTATAAAGCTGCATTGAAACAATATATACTGTCAAAAGCACTATAGAGATGACTTTGACTCTATATACTACTATATATTTTGAGACTCAACAATTACACTAAGTGATATGACATTTTTGTCTGTCCTACCACAGAACTAGTAATTATAGAAATGCAAATGAACTACAAAACTGAGGTATAGAATTGCATAATGAATGACTGAGATGTGATGTGACATTGCTGTAGATGTGGAGAAAAGGAAAAACCCTGTGTGTGGGTTCATCACGCCGCTGGAGGGATCAGAGGCAGATGCACACGGCAAACCTGAAGTGAGTGTTTACATACAAATAAAGCATAGTACAAACATGTCGCTTGTCTTTATTCAGGTTTAAATTTGTATGCATGATGCAACCTGTGGTTCATTATTGGGGTTCAAAAGGGTGCTAGAAATCCTGAGTTTTAATCTAGTGTTTTCAAGTGCTTAGATTTTGGATGAAGTGCTTGACTATGACAATGTTTTTTTACTAAACCGGTAATAATAATTAACTATTTAAATAAAATAAATATTTTTGGTTTTGGAAAATGAAATCTGGTGGCACGTGGGCTCAATGGTTAGCACTGTGGCCTCACAGCAAGAAGGTCGCTTGTTTGAGTTTTAGCTAGGCCAGCTGGCATTTCTGGAGTTTGCATGTTCTTCTTCAGCTTACTCTTTTATTTATTAGGGGTCACCACAGTGGAATGAACCACCAACTATTTCAACATATGTTTTTATGCTGCGGATGCCCTTCCATCTGCAACCCAGTACTGAGAAACACCCATACACACTCATTAAAACACACACTCATACACTACGGCCAATTTAGCTTATTCAGATCCCTTATAGTGCATGTGTTTTGACTGTGGGGGAACCCGGAGCACTCGAAGGAAACCCACGCCAACACGGGGAGAACATGCAAACTCCACACACAAATGCCAACTGACCCAGCCTAGATTAAAAACAGTGACCGTCTTGCTGTGAGGTGACAGTGCTAACCACTGAGCCACTGAGCTGCCCTGTTGTTAGATATATATTATTGTAAAGTTTGGATATTTATAAGGCATTTACTATAATATCTGGGAAATATTGCTATGTGTATGTTTTCTGATATTTTGATTTTAATTCAAAACAATTAGATCAATGAGACCTGTTAGTCAATTAATTGTGAACACCAGAAATGACTACTTAAGCTAAGTTAAAGGATCTTAACACTGACTGAAATGCTTGCTTTTTTCTTTTCTCTGATGATTTATGTGGTAAATGATTGTGCGCCAACCTTTTTTGGTACTTGTCACTTTGATATTTGGTCTCAGCACCAAACTTATCTGGTAGAGTTCAGATTTACACTTGATTGACTATAAACACTAAATTCATAGTAAGAAAAGCATTATTTGCAGGGTGGAAACTGCTTGAAAAGTGCTTAAATTTGACTTTAGAAAAGGTTTAACGGATGTGCTTATTTATGACATTTACAGGCCATTGTTCTGGAGGGAAGCTACTGGAAGAGACGGATTGAGGTGGTGATAAAAGAGTATCACAAATGGAGGATTTACTATAAGAAAAGAGTGAGTAGCTGATCAAATGCAGTGCGTGAGGTCACTGAGGTGTGCATATTATATGGCCAAAACACACTATTCACTTCTTTAATGTGAAATTGAACTAAATAAATAAAGATGTTATAAATGGTTTTGCAAGAAGTTCCTTCAAATAAAAGTTTTAAAATGTAATATATAGACAACATTATTTCTTATCATTTTTAAAAAATGTTTCCCAAGTAAAAAAGCAGAGCAAGGTCATTTTTCACTGTATTTCTTATGTTCATTTATTGATTCATTCGTTTTCCTTCAATGAAGTCCCTTATTTATCAGGGATCGCCACAGTGGAATGAACCACCAACTAATCCAGCATATGTTTTACGCAGCAGATACCCTTCCAGTCACAACCCAGTACTAGGAAACACACATACACTCTCACACTCATACACTATGGCCATTTTAGTTAATTCGATTCACCTGTACCGCATGTGTTTGGACTGTGGGGGAAACCGGAGCTATGCAATGAAAATATATAAAAAAAAAAAAACTGTGATAAATATAAATCCTGTGTAACAACAAAAGAAATGCATAAAATTGCTTTATTTTATTTTTTAAATGAAATGAATAATTAATCAGACATTTAAAAGTACACCAAAGCAGATTAACCCACACAATTTTAATATTTGAAACTGAGAAAACCATTTTTTTTTACTTTAGTTACTTGACTATAGTTACTGCAAGTTGATGTTTAAAAATAAAATCATGCCCATTACCCAGCAGGTGTTTCTGAATATGCCAGAATCCAGAGCAAAAGAAAACAGTGATAAATGTAATGCCTGTATAACAGCATAAGATGTGCATAAAATTGTTTAAATTAAATCAGTATACACTTACCTGCCGCTTTATTAGGTACACTTTACTAGTACTGGAAATATTCCTCAGAGATTTTGCTCCATATTGACATGAAAGCATCACACAGTTGCTGCAGATTCGTCGGCTGCAGATCCATGATGCCAATCTCCCGTTTCACCACATCCCAAAGGTGCTCTGTTGGATTGAGAACTGGTGACTGTGGAGGCCATTTGAGTACAGTGAACTCAATAGCCCCTTTCACACATACAGACCTTTCCGGAAAATTACCGGCAATTTTCCGGAAAGGTGTGTATGTGTGAACAGGTCCTTTTTGAAAATACCGGTAAATTCGTTCTGGCTATTTTCCGGAAAGAGAAGTTGTAACATTACCGGTAATTTGCCGGAATGCTGCGCTGTGTGAATGCAGAAGGAAGATTTCCGGAATAATCGCGTGCACGTCTAGAACATGCTGACGTGAGACTTCTGCTTTAGCCAATCACAACAGTCAGAAGCATTTACGTCCGCACGGTTTGTGAGAATAAAAGCCTTTGAATATTTTTCCAGACACATTTAGCTGCTAGAAGTTAGTCAGATCACGTTTATATGTTCTTCTTAATGTCAACTGTGTAAATAATCATCGATGAGATGCTTATGATAAGCCGTTGTTTGTTTACCTTCAAGCTTTGCGTGTGCCTGTGAAACAGCCTGTGAGCGCCAGCACACACACATATTATGTACATCTCGACATGCGAAAGTGATCCTGTGAAAGTTGTTCACAATATTGATCATCCACAGAGTTTGTGATTTAGTCAAATGTTTACAAACACAAGCGCAGCCGTTTAGAGCTCATTTGTGGTGATGTCAGAATTTACCGCTATTTTGAAATTGGTGTGTGAATGCTCTTTTCCGGAAAAATTCCGTAACGTCCTCGCCTGTGTGAACAGCGCTTTTTTGTATATACCGGTAAAGTCGTTCCGTAAATTTTCCGGATATTTACCGGTATCACTGTGTGAAAGGGGCTATTGTCACGTTCAAGAAACCAGTCTGAGATGATTCACACTTTATGACATGGTGTGTTATCCTGCTGGAAGTAGCCATCAGAAGATGGAGACACTGTGGTCATAAGGGATGGACATGATCAGCAACAATACTCAGGTAGGCTGTGGTGTGCCAAGAAAATATCCCCCACACCATTACACCACCACCACCAGCCTAAACTGTTGATACAAGGCAGAATGGATCCATGGATGGATTTCATGTTGTTGATGCCAAATTCTGAGCCGACCATCTGAATGTGGCAGCAGAAATGGAGACTCATCAGAGCAGGCAACGTTTCTCCAATCTTCTATTGTCCAGTTTTGGTGAGTCTGTGTGAATTGTAGCCTCAGTTTCCTGTTCTTAGCTGACAGGAGCGGCACCCGGTGTGCTCTTCTGCTACTGTAGCCCATCTGCCTCAAGATTTGCTGTGTTGTGTGTTCAGAGATGCTCTTCTGCAGAGCTTATGTTGGAGCCATTTCTTTCTTTCTTTTATTAATATTATGTTTGGTTTAAATAGGTTGATTGGATGATATGATTATTATTATTATTAAGTTTACATTTGATCATTATTGTATTCAGGTGTGAGTATTTGCTTTGTATATTACCCATGTTAGAGTATTTGCTTTATTGTTTTAGATTTTGTGAATGAAGACTTTTATTCTGTCGAAATCGGTATTTAAGGCAGCCAGGTAGTAGGTGGGGGAGTAAGGGAAGAGGAAACAATTTTCAGACCGTGAGTTTGTATGTGATGACGGGTGCTACTGATAAGCAATGGAGCTCTTTCACTGATTTGATGGCACAAGATGTGATAAAAGTAAATGATGAGAAAAGGAATCACAACGGACTCACACGTCATTGTTTACCTTTACCGCGATATTGGCTTAAAGCAAAACTTCCGCTACACCTTGGTTGTAATGAGTGTTTTTTTTAAGTTACTGTTGCCTTTCTATCAGCTGGAACCAGTCTGGCCATTCTCCTCAGACCTCTGGCATCAACAAGGCATTTGCGCCCACAGAACTCCCACTCACTGGATATTTCCTCTTGTTCAGATCATTCTCTGTAAACCCTAGAGACAATTTGCAGTAATGAGCAGTGGGACAGGTGTACCTAATAAAGTGGCCGGCGAGTGCATTAACACGCATTTAAAATGACAAACACCAAAGTAAACATGCGCATAACTCAACAAGACCCGCCCCTTTTTTATATTTCCATTATAGTTACTAGACACACCTCTTTCTGCTGATTGGTTATTAACAAACCTTTTGCCAACTCTACCAGCTTAATATACTACTAATTAGCTGTTATTTAATAGTCAGTAAGATAGAGGTTGGGTTTACTGTAGGTTTAGATTAGAGATGCAGAATAAAATCATACTTTATAGCTACTAATGAACAGTTAATATCAGTAGGCAGGTAATAGCATGAATTATGACCTAAAGTGTTACTGAAAATGCCAAACCCAAAAAACATGCGCATTACACAAGACGTGTTTTTGAAAATACCAGAAACCTGAGCTAGTTTTTTCCCAGTTGCAAAACTCTAGTAGCATTTTCAGGTCAAGAAACCAAAGTTCAGCATTCAAAGTATTAACATCTGTGACCCCGGTGACCCTCACAAAACCATATCCTAAAAGCCCCCCATGTATTGAACCAGCATTAAGATAAGATGCTTTTTCTTAGTGTTTGAGGATCTCTGACTGATCTGCATTGTCCATTAGCATCAAAAGCACTGCTGATTTATTTTATTGTATGTGTTTTTAGCTTCAGAAGAACAAAGATCTGCTCTCCATGCTGCAGAAGGTAAGATCAGACAGCAACTTTCACTCTTTATTAAATATTTAATTGCTTGTTTGGAGATTTGTGTTGAGCATTAAGACAACGTTAGCACCTGTTACCTTTAATTATGGGGAAAACGTTATAAACGTGACTTTTCTGAACGTCTTTTCCATGCATGTGGTCTATAATGCAGCTGTGATCAGTGGTGGAAAGAGTACTGAAAAATCATACTCAAGTGAAACTACCATTCCTTGCACAAAGATGTAGTGAGAGTAAAAGTATCTGCTGTAAATATTACTCAAAGTATGAGTGAAAAGTAGACCTTTCAGAAGTACTCAAGAGTATTGAGTGGTGAGTATTACACTGTAAAAAATCGTTTTGCATTTACATGCAGTTTGTGCAGGGATGTGTAAACGTAACATTCTGTAGTGCATTTAGTGATCTTCCTATATTAATTTGTTCCTTCCTTCGTTCCTCTCTTCATTTTTTCGCTCATTCATATTTTTGTTCCTAGATTCATTACTTCATTCATTTGTTCCTTTCTTAGTTTGTTCAGTTCTTCCTTGAATCCTTACTTCATTCATTTGGTCCTTTGTTAGTTCGTTCGTTCATTTATATTTTTGTTCTTTTCTTTATTAGGTCCTTTGTTCTGTCCTTCCTTTACTCATTTGTTAATTTCTTCGTTCATTCCTTTGGTCCTTCCTTCATTTCTTCCTTCATTTGCTCGCTCATTCATTCAGTCTTTCGTTCATAATTTTTGTTCGTTCCCTCATTACACTGAAAAAAGTGTTGCATGCAGAACTGTTGCAAACAATTTATTTGTGTTTATTTTAAACAAACAAATTAAGTTTAATAATGTTCAACTTAATTCGTTTGTTTAAATTCAACACAAATAAATTGTTTACAACCCCTTAACGTAAATAAAATTAGTGAATCCAAGGAATCATCTTTGAATAATTTTTTTCTTTGTTCATTCATTTATTCGTTCCTTCCTTCCTTTCTTCTTTTCCTTCCTTAGTTTTTTCAGTCCTTCCTTGAATCCTTCCTTCATTCATTTGGTCCTTCCTTCGTTCGGTTCTTCCATTTTTCATTCCTTCCATTTAGTGATTGTTTAAGGCTGTTTGGTGATTTCAGTCATCATACAGTCGACATCTATTTTCTCATCAGTGACATCCAGTCTATTAAAAGTCTGTGTGTCAATGTGTGTTTTGAACATCTTCTTGGACATTTTTAATGCTTCTGAAAGTTTGCTGCATTTATAAAGCACCCATGTGTTGATGTTGTTCAGTATCATGTGATTTTACTTTCTGTGCAATTTGATTGGACAGTAATCACAGGACTGATTTTTCTACTTTAGCCAATCCCCTTAGACAAGAAAGTAATAGTGACTGCAGGTTGAAGAAAAGTAGTGGAGTAAAAGTACAGATACAGCTCAAAAAATGTACTCAAGGAAAAGTAAAAGTACACATTTATTTATTATTATTATTATTTATTTTATTAGAATTATGCAAAAATCATACAAATACAAGAAAACATCAACAAATAACAAATACAAAGCAACAAAACAAAAACAAAACAAAAACAACAGCAATATAGTCAGGTACTGGTATGTGCGTGAGTGTGCGTGTGTGTTAAGCAGGTCGCACACCAGAAGCGCCGCTCGGCGCCGCGCCACGCAGCGCCGCACCACGCAGCGCCAAGCATTTTAGAATTCTAAACATAGGTTTCTATCAGGGTACACACACCGGCGCCGCAAGTCGGCGGCTGTCGGCGGCGCCCGGCGACGGCTCAGGACGCAGTTCATTTTTCAGCCGCGCCACAGAGCGCCATCTAAGCAGGTCGCACACCAGAAGCGCGTACATGACAGTTTAAGGTATCACACACCAGATGCGCACATTCGAATGATATTTAACATGAAACTAATCAAATGGCGCTCTGTGGCGCGGCTGAAAAATGAACTACGTCCTGAAGCAGGTCGCACACCAGAAGCGCCACGCAGCGCCATGTATTTTAGAATTCTAAACATAGGTTTCTATCAGGATACACACACCGGCGCCGCAAGTCGGCAGCTGTCGGCGGCGCCCGGCGACGGCTCAGGACGCAGTTCATTTTTCACCCGCGCCACAGAGCGCCATCTGATTAGTTTCATGTTAAATATCATTCGAATGTGCGCATCTGGTGTGTGATACTTTAAACTGTCATGTACGCGCCGTGTCGCCGAGGTGTGCGACCTGCTTGAGCCGTCGCCAGGCGTGTGTACCCTGATAGAAACCTATGTTTAGAATTCTAAAATACATGGCGCTGCGTGGCGCTGCGCGGCGCGCCGCCAAGCGGCACTTCTGGTGTGCGACCTGCTTTAGGCTTGCCACAATAGATGGTGTTGACGGTGATACCGGTTTTAAGACGCAACACCGGTGACATCACTTTTCCACTGTAACACCGTCCCCACATTTGTTTTTTTTAAGTATTCGTTTTTTTTTTTTTTTTAATTAAACATATATTTGAATTAAATAGAAAATATTATTATAAATAATAGACTCAAGACGAGAGCATGCTCTATAATTAAAATCTGAACATAGCTACATGTGCGTCATATTTATCATGTGAGGAGAAAAGAGGAGTCGAATTTACAGAAAGAGGATGGTGGAAGATTTATTGTCAAAACGCAATGCAAAAGCGTCTGTTTGGCTATATTTTGGGTTCAAACCAAATGCAAAAGAGAACCTGAAGACGTTAATGAGGCAATCTGCAAACCTTGCCTGACAAAGGTGGCAGCATCTAGAGGAAACATAACTAATTTATACACGCACCTTCAACTCACCTAACTATGGGTGGGTAGCGGATAGATCAATGGCCATAAATACGCAACGCATACTCTCATTTTAAAAATCACGCGACCATCATGTTTAATAATAAATGTCTTTTTTTAAAAATTAAAACAAGAGTGATTTAGCAGTGCCGCACCATTGACAATCCAACTGCAGAGAAACAACATCATGGCAACGTGACCACTTTTTCCGAAGTTCAGCTGTTCTTTTTTCCACTTGATTATGTGTTTAATGTTTAAAAAAAATCAATAATGAATAAGCCGACAAGAGCGCATCCTGTGTGTGCGCGCATCTTTTATAACTGAGGACGCTCTCTTCAAAAGCCGAAAGTTGCTTCGTCTGTCTGGCAATATTTCGGCTTTTCATCGAATGTAAAGTTCATTTAGATGAGCCAATATTAGACATTGCAATAAAGTAACTGAGACGTGCGGAAACATATCGAATCTGATGTCTGATCTCATCTCTCTCTCTCTCTTTCTCTCTCATACATCGAGCCGCAACACAAGTCATGTCGCAAAACTTAGGCTGGTGCAGCTGACAGGTAGAATAGCTGAAGCCTTTGTGAAATCTGTCAAAATACACCACTGAAATGAACAGGCATAAATGTCTTTGAGCCAAAAAAAAAAAAAAGTCACAATCTCACGGCAATTCGTAACTTTTTCATTTAGTGGCTAATTCGTATGAATTCGTACGATCTAATTCGTACAATTTAGTACAATTTGCTTATCCCCCAATGACGCTTGGGGTTAGGGGTGGGGTCAGGTGCCACGCCTCCTTTTTAAAATCGTACCATTTCGTACGACTGAACTCGTACGAATTCCTACGAATTAGCCACTAAACTGGCAAAACGTAAAATACTTACGTTTTCTCGTGAGATCAGGCTGGGATATCTGTAAAAACGCAATTGGAGCCAAAGATATGGAGGAATTGTGTAGCCTATTAATTATATTAATTCTAATAAAATGAAAACCAAAATAAACTATTCATTGCATTTTTCGTTTGATAAAAATATACGTCAACGGAAAAAAAATCAAAGGGTGGCTAATTTGTATTAATGTGTTTTAATATTAATGAAAATATGCTTAGCCTATTTAATTAACGGCTATATGCGCCGTCAAAAGACAAGCCATTCAAAACATATTATTTTACTGTGTACTGGGTTATAATGTATATTTTATAATAAAAACTAAACGTAGCATGTCTCGCTGTCATTTAAAACATGTAATTCACTACACGCCAGAGCTGTGGACAGTATGCAGTGTGTTAACTTACAGGGCGGTGTTGGTCATAGTCTTACTGCGCACCAAACTCCAATCCGAGGGAGATTATGTTACTCGATAGACAACATTACCTTGAGAGATTTAAAAAATAAAAGTTATTTTTATTTTTTTAAATGATGTTTTTTAAATGATGTTCCAGTTCTTAACATTTAAAATATATATATATTTATAGTTTATATATAAAATGAGTGCTAGCTTGATTAGTTTTGATCATCATGCATAGCTTATAGATTCGTTAATAATGTATTTTATAAACGGATTGTTCATAAGGACTAAGCTGTTAATATATAATACAGACATTTATGGTTGTTATTTGTATGGTTCCAACTTCCACAGTTTTTTCAAAGTGTAGCATTGTTGTGTTTCATTCGTTATGTTAATAAAAGTTATGTTTTGTTTAATAACAGTGATTTTTTTTTTTTTGTTGTTGTTTCCTTTTCGTCCATTCAAACAATTGACACCGAATTGGCAACTCCCGCAAAACTGAAAGTGAAAGTATTATACGCACGCATTTATAAGCTATTTAAAAGCAGAAAAAAAGAGGAAAAGAAGAGGAATTAGTAACGCCCACTCCCACGGTGATACCGGTATTACCGGTGTTGTCACATGTCGATTAACCGGTGGGGAAATTTCCTCATCGTCACAACCCTAGTGTGTGTATGCATGTAAAGGTAACTTGGTGGACAGGTCAAAGTACATACATAAGGAACAATAACAGTCAGTAAATGAAGCAAGTGTCACAGATATAAATACCAGTCAGAGGTAGGGAGTAACAACAATGCTTATTAATGTATGATAGTAAAAAAGAAAGAAAGGACAACAGTAATGATAACTGACAATAATAATAAATCACAAGTGCTGCACCAACTACTACTACAGAAAGTTACTTATATTACAACTACTACTGCTTCTACTA